GACGAACGTATGTAGAGAAAAAGAGTAGTTGATTTTATAAATGTGAGATACAAAAAAATATAAATTATATAGATGTGTGTTGGCTTCTCTCGTGAGTCGAGGCTCGAGGGCCTCCCTAGCTAACTCATTTTACTCCATTGATTTTTTTTTCTCTCAATTATACAATTCTGTAATTATTTTTGTACCTCCCAATTTTAGCYCCAGTCAAAGAAAAATATGTTAATACTTAATAGTAGTGGTCTCTCCCTTAGTCAGTTGGTCTTAATATATAGATAGATGACCAATTTAATAGGAGCAGTAGCATACATGTGATGTTGATCTGTCTTCATGTCAGAGAAAGTGGTCTCACCACGAAACCATAACGTTGCAACACCGTTTTCTCTCTCGAACCCCGAAAACATTAGCCACACATTTACCAAGTTTCTACCTCTTTCTGTCTATAGATATGTATGCACGAATCTAAAAGTAAAAAGGCAAAATTACATAAACAAAACTTAGTTTACTGCAAAACCAAAACATCTTAAAAAAAGTGTTTTACTTTTAATCTTATAACTAAGTTAGTTTGAGTTTGTTCCGACAAATTTGAACCCCACGTCGAGAAAATGTCTCCATCCACTTACTTAGTTTAATCTATTTTAATCACATGTCTCATGTGATTTACATATATAATCTCATCACTTATCTGATTTAACAACGTAATCTACTTTGCCATATGCTCATGACGCTCCTCTCTTCTTTATTCATTATTTTAGTTAATTCCACTTTTCCCATTTTTCAACCATACACTGATGTTGACATCATTATTATACATAAAAATCTATATATTATATAATTATTGAACAATAGCACTGTTAACTGATTTTGATAATATTCCACTCAAATGTACGTTACGGTTTGTGTTTACTACTTTTAATTACTGCCGTACTAACTTTTTTTTTCCTTTTCAAAAATAAAATAAAAGCTGTCATGATTTGTGAAGTTCATGACATGTGAATATATATAAATGGTATGGTGTAAGAGCATCAATATGACATGACAAGCTTAGGATGAACCAAGATTGACTTAAAAAGTCAAATACGTACAAGATAACTATTACGCATGAATAATACAAAATAGTATGACAAAGTAAGAGAGTGAAGAAGATATAGAATAGAAGCTTCACTCAATACTATTTAATCTAAACACGAAGCAAAAGTAAAGAGCGACTTATATATGGTGGTTAGGAGATTAGGAACTGCTAATTATAAATTAATTATGACAGCCCACGCATTTGGACATAATCAAGCATTGGGATTACCTCCATCATTGTTTATTAGCTTTTCTTTATTTTAATCGTTTTTTTATAATCCTCTTTCGGGTGTTGATTAGGACACACGGGCACACAAAGGGACTGAAGCTTATATATCAGCGTATAAAGACATTCATCTTTTAATTACTTTCTTAATTAATCTTTGTCTTGTTAGTTTGGTACACGCGTTCGCCATTAATTGCATGCATCCCGTTTAAACCTATTGCATAAATATTTAGACCCTTTTTTTGCATACACGGCCAGCACTTAATTAATCATACAGAATATACATTTTGCTTATAGAAAATGGATAACGATATCTGATGGACATGGGATTGAGAATGATTTTTTTGTTGTCGAAAATGTTGAATATTAGTAGGATTTGAATTCATTTTAATTTATAGAAATGGACAACTTTAATAGTATAGTATTACATTAGATACACATGTAGGTGAGGGTGTAATGAGTATATAGGCGCATGTAGATATGGATGTGAGTAGGAATAAAATCTTTATTCTCAACTAGTATTAAAAGTAGAGGATCCTAAGTGAAGTTTATTTCATTACCATATTATTTCTAAGATCATATGTTCACAAGCTAATTTCATATTTTCTTCATTATATAGCTACGTATACATGTACCATTATATGCAATCTATTTATATCAAACTTCCCTCAGAGTACTAACCAAGTTTGTAATGCATGGGCTTAAACACACACAAAAGCATATGTTAACATTTATTCTTAAAGCGAAACAAAAGAAAAAGAAATTCGAGGGAATATATATATCCTTGAACAAAATAGCAACAAAGGTTGCACATGGATTCTTTGCCTTTAAATCTTTAGAGAAGAAGATACAATATATATTCATTAAAATAAACAAACTTTGGATACTTGAAAAGTAGAAAGAAATATAAAGTTGATGATATGATATTAACCGAGAAGGAATAATTTAAAAAAGAAAAGAAAAGGAGAATACAATGGTGGCATGGCCCGACCCGTAGGGCGTGACTCGTGAGAGATCGTGAGTGATACTTAGTTTCTCGAGGGAGCGTCTCTCGTTTGTGTTATACTTTAGGATTTTTTTTGTGGGTTTGCTTTTTGTTGTTTATGGTCACAAACCAAGATTTGGTCACTCTTCCTTCTTGGCACTTTCATTTCACCACTACTATACCTTATATTTTCTCTAGTGGACAATGACACTTCTTCCTTACCAAGTCCATTGTTTCATCATCAATGACTCTTTTCCTATTCCCACCTATTCATGTTGTTACAAGGACACTCACACGAGAGACAAGCCGAAATTATTTACCACCTTATAAATAAATGCAATTAGAATGTAGTTTCGATCCATAGGCTGGTCTCGGGCCTTGGGAGAGTAAAGGCCTAGCACCCGAATTTTTCTAGGGAGCAATCCCAGAAAAAAGGAAAGAATATAGGTTTCGATTCTTTTAGATAAATCTAAAGAGTATTAAGGGGAAAAGAGGATGAACGTGAGAGAAAGGAAATAAGCATAAAAAAGAAAAGTAAATGAGCACAGTGATTGAAAGCGATAAAGGAAGATTGTAAAAAAAATTTCTGATTGAAATTTTTACAGAGATTTCATCAAAGGGTTGAGAAAAGTAGAAAGTAGAAAGCGAAAGGCATATTTTTTTTGTGTGTGTATGGGGCGAAAGCAAAAGCGGATTAGAGAGAGTGGAAAGCTAGTTTTGGTTAAAGAAAGACAAAAAGAAATGTAAAACTCTCATTTAGATTTGACATTAAAGAAACTTGCGAACATGACTTTTGTAGGATCCATATCAATACATTGAATCATCCCACATTCCCAAATGAAACTATTCATTCCTCTAGTCACCACCACCATGTTAAATTAGATTGGGCAACGATTTGGAATTAAAAAAAAAAAAAAAAGGCTCAAAACCCATATTTCTAAAGTCCATGGACTTGTACATTTTGTTTAATTTAATTATAATTATTTAATGTTTTTTTTATCACGTATTTGTTTTTTTCTCCGAAGAATATTAACAAAACAAAAATTGAAGTTACTCTCCCGAGATTTCAATCCATACAATTTTTTTGGTGACGATTTAGGAACAGAGATGGGCCATTTCTTGTCGCAGATATGATTCAGAATCGGTTGATTTGCAACACTATAGTGATAGGAATCTTGACACGAAATTAAACACTTTGGATAGTTTTCATGTCCAGTTTCAGAATCACGAGCTTGTGGAGTTTGTAAACTGAAACAATGGAATCAATCTCTAGTCCATTCCTCACTGGTCAGGTACTCCTATCTTTACAAACATATACTACAAAGCAAGTGTTTTTTTCTTGGCTTCCATTTATTCTGTGACCTTGAAACTTGTGTTGAGATCCTTAAAGCTTGGCTTTTGAGTGTGTAGTTTTACACAAGTTGGCTTATTAGTTGTAGATGAGATGGTTTCGAGGGTAATTGATCTCTGAGCCAGATGAATTCTGAAAAACCTTTTCTTTTCTTTCCTTTTGGTATTGTCATTGACGATCTCTTGTCTGCTTTATGGTTGAGACTTGAGAGATGCTATAAGAGTTAAAACATTGGTTAGTCTTACTCTAATTGCCTCTTGTGAAATATATTGACTGATGAAATAATTTTGCAGGAATTGGCAAAAAGAATATGATGCTATTTGTTAGTCTTACTCTAATTGCCTTTATGTGAATCATGCATTTGTCGCTGCCCTCAGGGCACTCCTCCTTGTATGTGATTAGGTTGCTACTTTTGTATGATGCATTGTTTGTTGAGTAATGTTGATATGGATTCTATAAACGTATAGTCAACTTTAGCGGTTTAGTCAGTTAACTAAAACCACGAACTTGGAATGCTCATTTCAGAATGCTTTTAGTTTATTTATTGGGTCTCTTTCGTGTCCTCGGAATTGGTGTCTTTATCGCAATACTGAGTGTGCATATTTTATATACCTTATTGATATTAAGATGTCGTGAATAGCTCTAGCTGCCTTCTTAGTTACAAGTTTTGGCATTCTGTGTAATCAATGGCAATTGCATTGTTTGGATTGGTTCTAGACATGGATAACCAGTTATCTGTAGAGTTGGTAGTTGAGCTATTTTTTCTGTCATGAAATACTTGCTTTCAAATTGTGAATGAGATCATTTTAATGTGGGACGTCTCTTCAGGTTCTCGAACCAAATTGGCATGTGATCAGTACTGCATGTGATCGATGCACGATAGATTACAATCCGCAAGGAGTGTAGAGGAGGTGAGTGTAGACGTCCTGCTTTATTATTGTTGTAAGGAAAACGAGCTTTCATTGAACAATGTGCCATCATCTTACAGGTGATACAACATCACGACTTCTTTCTTGATAAGTGTCTGAGAGGGTGCTTGCTTCTTCTACCTGATGGTATTAAGATTTGTTTCTGTTCCATTTAATGTTCTGCTTCCTCAGGATGAATGTAATTATTTCCTTCTTCTCTATCGTGCTATAGTGGAAATTCTGAATGCACGTCTGATGTTTTCCGATGTTTAACACTCTTTCTTACTGATCGATGTTGCAGAAAATGGAGAAGTTGAAATCGGTGTGCTTGCTATATGCTGCAGCCACACAGTGGCTGATATCATCGTCTATTGACATCAATAGCCAGTCTCACCCGCAGAATCCATATTGTAAGTAGTAACAATCAAATTGTTTTAACACTAATTTCTTCTCTTTCATGGAGAGTTATTTAGATATTTTATGCAAACGCCATATAATTTTAACACTCCATATTGCGGTATCGTTCTAATGTCTTTTACGCGTTGTCCCAGCAATTTTGAAAGAGAATTCAATGCGGAGTTGCAGAGCTTAGGACCAGTCTTGAAGAGCAAAAGCTCTCAAGCTGACTCATCTTTCCCAGTGGATCCTTGGTGTTTCCAAAGAATGAGGGTGAGATTTTTACTAAACAAACTCAGGCAACTCATTTTTCTTTCTTTCTTTCTAATGTTATTAAATGATATTCAGCTTGAAATTGTTATGAGATGTAACTGTGGACATGGATGGTGGTGACACAAAGCTCAAGATGAATGTATACGAGATGCGGTGATAGGATCATGATCATGATGCTTGAAGGTTGGGAAATAAAATGATTCGAGATTCTGTGTTTTTTTTTTGGGTGTGAGAAGGAGAAGGACGAATGGTTTGGAAAACAAAACCAAAGTTTTATGTATTTTCGAAAAACCAAGGCAGTAGAATGATATTTTCATCCGCAGACTCATTTTGTCTACATAATTTTTGCTAAATATATATCTGAAAGTT